TAATTTAATTGTAATTACGGACTTTCTTCACAATTCATTTTCAAATGTGAAAATAAGAATTATTTTTATTTTTTACAGCCGCCTAAAATTATTGCACATAAATGTCAATCAATGCTAACCGTCGCAAAATTCTCTAAAAAAAAATTAAAATTTTCGTTTTTTAACTTATAAAATGATATAAAGCGGCAAAATAAACTTGTTGCAGAAGGTTCTTCAAATACTCATTTGTTCCTCAACTCGCCGCTACGCGGCTCGTTTCGGAATTTCGTATTTGTGCTTGCAACTTGTACTTTAATATACTATTTGTTTCAATTTATTATTCTTTATTAAAAATAAATTAAAAATACAAAATACATGTTTTAGACAAAATTTTATTTTTAAACTCATTCTAAACAATTAGCAATTATTATCGTAGTTTAGTACAAAAATCAATTTTACCTCAAATTCCAGGAATTTATTTTACAAACAAGACTTCAATTTGTGTTTTTTCATTGATTGTGAAATCAGGACCAACTTGTTTCAAATTTCAATCCCGTACACTTCACGCCGTTAAATTAGATTTCTTTTTTTTATTATAAATCTAACAAAAAAAGCTGGAACATAAATGTGTTGTTTATGTTAGTCCCGTCAAAATAGACATTTCAAATAACTAAAATTCCGACAGAGCTAAATTTTGGTGGATATCTTGGGTACACCATTAGGAATAAAGTGTCAAAAGTCCCCATCGATCCCATGTGTGCTAAAAAAGTTATTCGGGGTCAAAAGTCAAAATTGGACGTTTTTTTAGATTTTTTTCGAAAACGGTAAGTTTTATCAAAAAAGTAGCCCAGACAAAAATTATAGATCTTAAAATTATCTACAAAAATGGTCTGCATACTTTTTTTCTAAGAATCACCATTCCTGAGATATCGCGATTCTAAAAGTTGAAGGAGTCACGTTCTACATCATATGCACATACATACAAAGAAGGGTAAGATACCAGGAACATGGAAAAAATTAAAAAAAAATCTATCTATAAAAATTTCGAAGTTATGAGAGTTTAAATTTTGCACTTTGTCTCTATTTATTTCTGTAGGATAAATAATTTTCCAAGTTTTTTTGCTACAGGCTATTAGAAGCGGAAACAAGGAAGCTGTATCCTAAACTCTAACTCTGTTTAATATTATTTGTGGCTTTTATTGGCAAAAGTTTTGTACCTTTACTAAATAATTCTAAAAAAAACATATACAAGGTCATCAGTATTATTAAATGGACATAAAAATATGTTAAATGTCAAAAAATAAATGTCAAAATTTTTTGACATAGAATTTTTTAAACAGTTTTTCAGTTACTCTGGGGTCTACCCAATTACTCCTTTTTCAAGGAAATCCGCGATTTTTTGAACACCCTGTGTGTATTACCTAATAAATTCTTTTTAATTCTAATGGAATCCAGATATTTATAAGTTTAATGAAATAGAAGAAAAATTTCAAGTAAGATAAAATGCCAGGAACATGAAAAAAATGTTTACAAGATCATCAGTATCATTAAATAGATATAAAAAAATGTCAAATGTCAAAAAATAAATGTCAAAATTTTTTGACAGATAGAATTTTTAAATATTTTTTTCATGTTTATTTATCTTACTTGAAATTTTTCTTCTATTTCATTAAACTTATAAATATCCGGATTCCATTAGAATTAAAAAGAATTTATTTGGTAATACACACAGGATGTTCAAAAAATCGCGCATTCCCTTGAAAGGGAGTAATTGGGTAGTCCCCAGAGTACTGAAAAACTGTTTAAAAAATTCTATCTGTCAAAAAAATTTGACATTTAACATTTTTTTATGTCCATTTAATAATACTGATGACCTTGTATATGTTTTTTTTATAATTATTTAGTAAAGGTACAAAAATTTTGTCAATAAAAGCCACAAATAACATTAAACAGAGTTACAGTTTAGGATACAGCTTCCTTATTTTCGCTTCTAATAGCCTGTAGCAAAAAAACTTTGAAAATTATTTATCCTACAGAAATAAATAGAGTCAAAGTGCAAAATTTAAACTCTCATAACTTTGAAATTTTTATAGATAGAATTTTTTTAAATTTTTCTATGTTCCTGGTACCTTACCCTACATGGCATTTGTTTTTGGGGCGCGAGTTCTGGCGCACTCTGTATGTGCATATGATGTAGAACGTTACTCCTTTAACTTTTAGAATCGCTATATCTCAGGAATGGTGATTCTTAGAAAAAAAGTATAAAGACCATTTTTGTAGATAATTTTAAGATCTATAATTTTTGTCTGGGCTACTGTTTCGATAAAACTTACCGTTCTCGAAAAAAATTTAAAAAACCTCAGATTTTGACCTTTGACCCCGAATAACTTTTTTAGCACACATGGGATCGATGGGGACTTTTGACACTTTATATCTAATGGTGTACCCAAGGTCTCCACCAAAATTTAGCTCTGTCGGAATTTTCGTTATTGACCACTATTTTTATGACTAATTTGACCGGACTATGTTGTGTGTCTATACCTATCGTCTACCTTTGAATGAAAATTTAAAATAAAAATAACATTCGCAAAAAATAAATAAACTTTATTATGAGACAAGGCCGTCTGAATCAAAAAGCTACGTTTATAGGCCGTTTCATTCTCCGTGATAACTGTTTCTGCAGAGCGGCCATAAAAAAAAGTGCGCCCTCGGTAGTCGATTAACGAATCAAAGCTACAAAATTAAATTAATAACAGTTATTCAATTTATAAGCATTGGCGGCACCCTTCAATTTTATAAAATAATAGTATAAAATGGTAAAAAGCGTGTTTCATTTGTGGGGCAAAATGTTCGCTTATTTGAAATTCCAAGCAATATGCAACAAAGGCAAAAATGGTTCGAAACTTTTGAAACGTTTTGCGGTAAGCAAATTTATACAGACAATAATAAGGACAACGTTTTACTTTGTATTTTAATATTAAAGACACTACAAAAATTACGGATTACTCAACAAACAAATCACTTTGCAGAAAAATATTGAAGTTATAAATTGTTCTAACCTACCTCGTGTTATGATTTTATATTTTTTGCAATTCTAATTTAATAGTATTTTGCTAGTCCAGAATACATCTAAAATAAGCTCGGATCTTATACTATAGCCTTCGACCATATATTAGATAGACACGCTATCCAGCGAGTTTGTTTGAAGCCAACATGTATTGTCAAGAGGAGTGAGGGGCAAGAGGATGCTTACTCTTCCTTACTCCTTGTTCAGTGGTGGCTCATAGGCAAGGGGCAGAAAATGAAAAATATTATAAGTTTCATAAATAATGTTGCTTGTTAAAACTGGTGGTATTTCGAGATTTTCAAACTACTTGACTCTTTTGGTGTGATCACTTAACAATCTACAATCATATCGCCCGAGTTACAATATAAAAAAAAAATCAATGTAATATTGGAATATTAGAATACATTACGACGCCACTGGTGGTTCACATATTATGAATGAACCAATCAGAGAAGGAGTTCTCTAAGGGTCAAATTCGCGTACCATTAGTAGTCATTAGTAGTCATTTTCCCTGCACATGTTGGCTTCACAACAAATCAGAGTATGCCTGGTCTATCTAATATATGGTCGAAGACTACAGCATTCATGTTTTAATTGATGTTTTAAGCACTTAACCTAAAAATAAAAAGTCTCAATCGACTGCGATCGAAATCGGTAGATGGAGCGCAATAAGGTGCTGACGCCCGAAATCTCAGAGAAACAAAGTTTATATGGAAAAATCAAAACGGCCTTATAAGCGTAGCTTTTTGATTCAGATGGCCTTGGTATAATAATGTTAATGGCGATCTCTGACGGCCGGGCCAGAACTAAAATTTATCAAAAACGGAGTGAAAACGGTCTTGGTTATACTCACAGGCTATACGTATACTAGTCGGCTTACCCCTGCTGTACCGTCAAAGGTACACCGTAGGAGGTCATTTTACAAAAACTGTGAAAGCTATCATAGGTATCTATGTTTATAACCTCAAAATTTTTTAAATAGTACCTAAATCAATTAATGCAGATTGGTATCTGAGAATGTATTTTGGTTTGCGTCTGAAAATCAAGTCAGGGACCCTGTATTTACGATTGGGTGCAATTTATTTAAAGAAAAAAGTATTCAAATTGACAACAAATAAATTTCACGTTATCGAAATTACAGAATTTGAATTAAAACAATAATTTGAAAATTCCGATTGATGTTTCCTGAATTTGTTAACACTGTTAACAGGTATACTCTTTTTCATATTAATGTGCATCAAGTGGATTGTGGAAGTCTAAATGCATCCTTAATTTAAAGGTCGATTCACACAAAAAGTTTCATTAATATCATTCAGAACAAAAATCACATCAATAATGACATTTTTTTAAATCTTTGTCACCCTATGTTAATTACGTTGTTAATTTTAATTATTTTTTACTACCTCAAAAAGTCGGGTACACATATTTATTTGAGAAAATAATTTTTAGTGAAGATTGAGGTTGGGATTTGAATTTCGCTATTGAATAATCATTTATCGAATGATTCGATAACTCAATCAAAATCGTTTATCTACACGAATGATTTTTAACGAATGAATTTTAACGAATGAATGTATTTTCTACTATCGAATAATTCGAATGATAGACAACTATCGAATTATTCGTTAAGTTCCATTCCATTCTGCCCATCACTACTTCAAATGATCCTTTTCAACGACTACTTCGATGCACATTAATATGAAAACGATTATACGTAATATCTTTCCCTCGATGAATCATAGAATTGAGTGAATATTTATCAATAGCCACACGTGAGGCATTTGAAATATTATTTCCAGTCGAGCATCAACTGACAGATTTGTTTATACGCATTGTCCCTTGAGATTATCTCTAACGAGAGTCCTTGAGAGTCTCTTTTGTCAATAAGCAATAACAAGTCCATTTTACAACTCGGCACGTTTGACAAATGATGACAGAGTGAAACTTTTTGCAGGTATTGGTTAGACAGAGAGTCGGCAAAAAACGTGGATCAGAGGATACAAAAGGCACTGTTTCTCTTCGCTTGCACGAACTCTTGCATGAATCCAGTCGTGTATGGGGTTTTCAACATCAGGGCTAGACGAACTGGACGGAAGGTGAGCCCTAGAGCCAACACTATAAAACACACCTCCTGCATCCCAACCCCAAATGGCGACTCTCGATTGCCGCCTCTTGAAATATCGTTGAAGACTTTAGAGTAGATATATATGTTGCTCGATATTTTTAATTTTATGTATCTTTAGTTGTAGGTGTTTTATTGTTTTCTTGTTATTGTGTTTTTATAAATATATTTGTGATTATATTGCCTGAATGCTTTTCCTACCAAAGTTTTTCTTAGTTCTCACACTCCACACAGTGCTTTCATGCTCAGGAGCGGATGAGATACTACTACACAGTGAAAAAATTCCCAGCGGCCCTATCCAGCTCTATTTGATACTGGGGGCCAGTTTCATTAGTGCTGCTGTTGTCAACAAATTTTATTTATACACAGAAATAAGTTTTTGTTAAGGCGGTTTAGTCGTTCTTATTTTTCAAAATACGAATTCATATTGTGGTGCCGTTATAACACAGGGTGTGTCAGAACTCGCGCCACAGAGAAAAATTTTAAGTAAGCTATAGAGCAAGAGCCTGTGGTCGCCAGACCTTCGTCATTTTATAAAAGTTGAAAATTTGTCAGCGCATACTTCCAACACAGGTAAGAACGATTAAGTTTGGGTAATCGTGGCTTTAACTTAAATTTATCAAATAAGAAAGCGTAATTTTTCTATTTTTCTTCGGAATAATACCGTGCGATCAAAAAAAAATAAATTAGAGTAGGCGGTGATTAAAGTCCTTCAGATGGCGATACTGATTTTAGACATCAAATGTCAGCGAAAACTTTGACAAGTTTGCGTTTTATTCATTTTGAGTGAAATAATGTTCACTTTAGAGCTGAAAATTATTTTTATTGTTGCAAGTTATTCCAAAAATTCTGTACAAGACGAAAAGGTAAATGGTCATTTTTACTTTCAGTTTGTGTGGAAAATTTGCAGCCCAGATTTCTAGCCAATGTGTTGCCAACTGTAGAATTTAATCAACGCCTACTCTAATTTTTTTTTGATCGCACGGTATTAGAGATCACCTCATCAGTGTCAGACACCCTTAAACCTTAATAAATTGTAACTGTACTTACAGTGATGGACAGTGAATTTCGTCCACCCAATTTCCTTGACAGAATAAAAGTGTAAATTAGTCTTTTCCTAACCTTGTTTCAGAATTTTGATTAACGTTTGTCATGTTGACAGAAGGTTCGATAATTCTTGCTACTTTTTACCTTTATCTTTTGAAATGGTACTCCTTGGTATGCCCAAAAGTATAGAGACACGTCCTTGAGACATACCTTCTTATACCAGAGAGATAATTTTTATTTTATTAAACGCACTTACTGCTGGAATGTTCGAAGTTGATTAAATTTGACAATACGTATTTGAATGTCAGTCAACCTGACAATAAAGCACAAACTACAGTGAATTTTTGTGAATTCATAGAAATTGGGTGGACGAAATTCACTGTCCATCACTGTACGTTATAGTTTAAAAGCTGAATTTTATACATGTTACTTGGGTAACTATGAGAAGATGTTTTTTCAGTAGCCAGACAGCTTCGACAGTGCTAAGTGCAGTTTATAAAATAAATGTGATTCAGTTTTGACAAAGTATCATCATTGGAGGCCTACAGCTACCCTATATTTTTGTCTGGCCGGGGGTTAGAACTGTCAAAACTGTCTGGGTACTGAGAAAACATCTTCTAATAGTTACTCAAGTAACATCTATAAAATTCAGCTTTTACACTGTAACGTAAGTACAGTTACAATTTATTAAGGTTTGGGTGTCTGACAAGAGGTTGCCCGATATTAAGTATCTGGCAATAGATGAGGTGATGTCTAATATTATTCCGAAGAAAATATACAAAAATTACGTTTTTTTATTTGATAAATTTAAGTTGGTATTTTTTACTTCTTTGCTACCTGGTATCTTCCAAAGCCACAAACTTCATACTTACCCATCGTTCCTACCTGTGTTAGTACAGAGTGGTTATAAATGATTTTCATCTAGCCAGCTGTGAATTTCCCATGTAAAAGAAAAAATGCCGCTTTACGAAAATAGAGGTACCTACTTGTTTTAACTCAAAATCAAAAAATCGCCGTTTACTAAGCGTCCACTTCTAAAATAGATTTCAATTATAAACTTGATTTCTTCTAAAGTATAGGTACATCATTATCAGTTATTATTGGAAATTAGTTGAAACAATAAAAGTTCAATTAACAACAATTTATAATTAATTAATAAGTGACACTAATGACAGAACTAGAGTTTTCAAAAAAGTAGAGTGGCACAAATAAAGTTACATGCAAAAAAATTCCAAAGCTGGCTAAATGAAAATCATTTATAACCACTCTGTAGTATGCGCTAACCGTGGAGAGAGAAACAATTGGACAGAGCGCAAGGATGGTAGACGTAAAGGATTGCTCAGGCTCACGAATCTGTCAGCCGGCGTCACGTGGTCCATAGACATGCTGTGACGTCACAACTGGTCTTTAATCGCGTCAAATACATGGGAGTTAATAGAAGCAAATACCAAATAATGCAAATAAAAGTGAATTATGACTTTAATTTGTTAAAATCGCTTTTGAATTTATAATGAAATTATTGTAGTTATAATTTGAGGTAATACAAAATAGAATTTTCTGTTTATTTGTGTCCAAAAATTGAGTAAATCTGTTTTCTAATCGGGACATTAAGAATAGGAACAATTTTTTTATTTTTTATATTGACGGGTATTCTTTACGTTTTAAAATGCTCAAACAAAAATGATTTAATAAATAAATTGCCATTGAAATTTTTTGGTCACAAAGTCGTGAAAATATCAATAATATTCCTAGGTATACATACAAAATAGAAACGGGTTTTATTTTTGACAATTTTAAATGCAATAAATTTTGTTGATAAATAATAATACAAAATCTAATAATGGCTAATAGGTAAAAAAATGTAAAACAAAATAAATCATTTTTATAATAACTTTAAGACTTTAAAGAAGAAAGAAATGAGCAAAACTAAACGACACAATATAAATTTTATTTCTTCAAATAAAAACATTTGGTAGCTGCACTAAACTTGAATTTTGAAACCAGCGTAGGTACAATCAAAATTCAGATAAATGATATCCCAAAAATTAAACAAAGATTAAATTAATAATATTTGCTTTCTCTATTTGTCCACATGACTTAGAGATTATAAAAATTATACAATAGTAAAAAAATAATTTTGTAATTCTAAAATTATTGAAAAATAAAGAGATCACATAAATTAAAAATCAATTAACAATTTTATAACACCCCACGTTTATAATTTTAATACAAACAATACAGAATTTCTGGGGGTTACAAGATCAAAAATATGCTTGGGAAATTATACTGAAACACATTGTATCTGGTGTAATGTTAGTGATGCAAGTTTATAAAATATGTATCTACTTATAATACATTCATTTCTGTTTTAGATCAGAATCGGCTATGGAAATTTGGCGACTGTAGCTGTATGACAATAAAATAGCTTACTCTAGTCTAAACCAAAAATGAATGCATATAATAATTTGTTCCTTAGATCACGTTGATAATCATTGTTTGTGAAATGGAGCAAATTGAGCTATGAATCGAGTTGAACTTATTAGCTCGTCTGCACCTGTTGGCCCGTTCCTTTCTCATCGTTGATGAGACCATATTGTTGCCGATAGAAAAAGATAAAAAATGAGATTGTCACCCATTTGTTTTGGTTTTATTTGGCTGCTGTTACAACCATATACAGCATACCATCTACCAGGCATATAGTGACGATATATGCAGTACCTATTTAAAATTATTGGAATTACTTTAAATATACTAAAATTTGCATTATTTCGTACTACAATTTTCTTTTGTATGATCTTAATATGCTCTAATATCATTAAAACACCAAAAAACACGAAGCACAGCTGATGTAAACAAACAATGTGGGCCAGTTGTGACGTCACGCAATGTGGTGGGGATGATGAAATACAGCTAACATTGCAGCATAGGACCTGAGCAATCCTCTGTGTCTACCATCCTTGGACAGAGCGTGCCCTATACCGGCCATGTTAGATTTTTTGGTTAGCGCTGACAAATTTTCAACTTTTATAAAATGACGAAGGTCTGGCGACCGCGGTCTCTTAGACTATTAAGATACCAAAAATGTTTAAAAAATTCTATCTGTCAAAAAGTTTTGACATTTGATACTTTTTAGATCTATTCGATGATCTTGTATAAGTTTTTTTTATAATTATTTAGAAAAGATGAAAAATTTTGCCAATAAAAGCCATAAATAACATTAAACAGAGTTACAATTTAGGATACAGCTTCCTTGTTTCCTCTTCTCTTCTTTGCCTTTAGCAAAAAAACTTGGAAAATTATTTTTTCAACAGAAATAAATAGAGTCAAAGTGCAAAGTTTCATGTCTTTAAAACTTTTTAAATAATTTTTTTTCCATGTTCCTGGTATCGTACCTAACAGGGCATTTTTTGCCGGGGCGCGAGTTCTGGCGCACCCTACATAACATCTAACTTGCCCTGCCCAGTGCAATGTCTTTTAGTTACCAATAAGATCGGTCGCTAAGGCACGATTTAAACTATAAAATAATTGTATACTCGTGAAGGTAATTTTTGTATATGACACTGTCCTAATGACAATTTCTGACACGTCTAAGAGATTTGGGCCTTTGTTCAGCAGCTTCATATTTGATCAAAAAACTTTCGATAATTATTATATGTAGGTATTTTTAATAAAAATTTATTTGCAAGTTTAGATTAACTACTGTGTTCTAAATTGAATATGGTTTCATTTTTCATTGACTATGTTGTGGGTGGGGCAAGGTCGAAGTTAAAACGACACGTTAGAGCCGAATAATAAAATTATTACCTTGAGATCAAATAAATAAAGTGATCGGTGAAGTAAAAACAAATTTATACAGTGAGTCCCCGGATAGGTGAAACGACTGTTGTAAAAGATAAAAAAAAATGATTAAAACTTTTTATTTTTGGGGTTCAGTTCTACTTCGTTAAACACTAATTTGTAATGTAATTTTAGTTTCGAAAAATCAAGTTTGCTTTGAAAATTTTCAAAAAACTGATTTGTAAAGTAAAGTCTTTTATGCGGCAAATACGACAAAAAGTTGTTAAGAAAAGTTGTTTAGAATCAACATCTAGGCTCCTATACCAAATTTCAAAATCGTCGGCCAACTATGGTTT